TAAGATGTATTTAAGTTAATAAAAAAAGTGATAATCCAATCGATTGTTTAGTCAAAAGAATATTCTATATGCTTCTCTTACGCTTATTAATTTAAAAGCATCTCAAATCCAAACTTGTATTTAACTTTTAGATTATCATATCTTATTTATTAGTTAATTTAGTTTTTACTTTACTTTGTTAAATATATTTTGACTATATCCATATACTTATATACATATATATACTACATATTAAACAAATAGAGTATATCGCCACCTTTGATACTTATTTTATAACCACTGTAAATACAAGAATTGCTCTATTCCCACTGCTGTAGTTTTCACTTCTCACTCTTCATTTTCTCAAAACGTTGCCAGATAAGAAAGAAATACATTTACTCTGAAAGATGGCCCAGTGCAAAACGGGTGGCAAAAAAACGGAAAAGAATTGAAAACAAAGCACAGCAAAGGAAGCCGAGCGGGGAAAATCTGCTGTTGGCATCGGTTTGGCTTGCTGCAAAATGGTAATCAAAATAAATGAGCGACGCTTTTTGAAGCACCGCTGATGAGAAGCCAAGGAAAACGGGGAAAATCCGAGCTGAACCGCAGAAATAACTCGTTAGCCCTAAATGATGGCCAAGAAGAGCCAACAAGTGGGGGAAAGGGGGGGCGGGGGTAATGGCCGAAAAGGGTCCGCGATGAAGACGGGTTCACTCGAGAATTATGAATTGTTTGTCTAGTAGGTGTCAGGTGCTTGCTTTGTGCATCTAGCCGTAATCACTTGGGTAATCGCTCAAATGCACACACAAAATGATGTTGAAATTTTCCCCAGTGGCTTTCCGCACTTCTTCTTCAACGTCTCCTTATACTGTCACTGTCAAGTGTCTCTTTTATCCACTGGGACTTTGCCGCCAAGTGGAAATGGGCGGTAAAAAGGTGGGCTGCTCTGCGCTTCGACTTGTGACCTTGGCGTCAGCTCACATGGGAAATAAGTGTGTCGCCAAATAATTGATTATAATGGCGTCCTAAATAATTCATCGCATAGAAAATTGAACGAATTTGAAGATCTGCTCCTTAATTATTTTGAAGTGACAAAATAAATTAATATGAATTGAAAATACCTTACCATGACATAAAGAAAAATATTGATTTGTATTTTCGTTTAATATTTTATTTAATATTTACGTATATTGTAATTTATTCGTTTGCAGCGCAAGTTTGTCTCTTTTTTGCTTATAATTATAATTATATTTTTTCCAGTATCAGGTTTTTCACGTACAGATTTTCCCGCCACACTCCCCACTTTTCTTTGGGTTCTTTTAACCTTTTTTCTTGCTTCACCGCGCAAAGCATTTGCATGAACTTTTCCCTTTTGGCTTTATAACTCACTCAACTTGAGTTCCTTCCGCACGACTCCGTTGCGCCGCATATCTCTTCGGTTTCACTTTTTTCCTTTTACATTTTCTTTACTCACTTTCACTTTGCCAAGTTAAGTAGAACATGTTGATTTGCTGCTTTTAATTTGTGCCCACGTAGTCAAATTTATCTTGGCCCACTTAAGTCCATGACTTGAACATTTATTCCGAGGCCCATTTTCTCAGAACCCTCCTCCTTTTTCTTATTTCTTGTTAACTTCCAGTGAAACAGAAAAACTGGGGCTTTAGCTAACAGATTTCTTGACGCCTCGAAGTTTCATAGAGTTCCGCCCATAAATTATCATTTGGCAGCTCCACCAGCTCCGAGGAACACCAAAAGTGTCACGCCTTCTACTTAAACATCCTGAAGGATCCGAAAGGACGATACATTTTCGGTCGGGTGCGGGAAAGTCGGCATGGTTGGATTTTAGGGGAAGCATAGCATTATATGCCGTTCACTACCGCAAGTCGTTGGCTCTTATCGGAGTTTCCTGCGGGCCGATTTAGCAAAGACGGCCGGCTAAAATGGATACCAGCTAACTTGGACCTTGCACCGTTCAAAAAATATATATATATACCAAAAATGGTTGTCAAACAGAAACTAATTTAAAAACAAAAAATTAAACCGTATTATGGCATTTAAAATTCAAACACAATCTGCAAAATACTTTTGCATTATCAGGTAATAAAAATTCAATTATTACGTGGGTTTCTTAAAATCATCAAATTCATTCCGGAATTTAGTCTTCTTTTTTGTTATCTCGTAAACTGAATCTATTTTTGATTTTATGATTTTTTTTTAAACTAACAAACAAGCTTATCATCTAAGACGCAGAGAATGTATAATTTAAAAAAAAAAAATTCAAAAGCCAACCCACTAGCACGTTGTAAAGTTTTTATAAAAATCTGATTATAGATTTCCTAACTACAAACCAATTTTTAAAATGATAAAAATCTTTTTTGTATGATTTTAAAATTTAAAATAAAATAATACTTTATAAACAAAATTATCCGAACAAAAAGCTTAGAAGTATACATTTGAACTAAATGTTTTTTCTGAGTACAAAATCAGCCTGAACTGTGGCTGAAAACTGCCAGTTGGAGTGAGTCTGATGCGCTGGCGACAGAAGCCGACACGTTTGTTGGCCCCTTATCATCGTTTATTGTTGCTACATATTTTATTTTTGGGAGTTTTCGGGTGCAAGACGCAACAACTTTCTGCCAGTCTTGGCTCGTTATTATCCTATTAGGATGTGACGGCACCCGCCAAAGTTTTCATCCACTAGAATAAACAGCAGCAGGCCAACTGCGTGGCTGTGTGGCTGCGTGGCCCACATGTCGTATACATAACGCTTTTTATATACTTTCGCCTTTGAGCCGGCTCAAGACATTACAAGCTCGTTAAAGTGAAATCAATGTTGTTGTCTCCGTGTTTTTCCTGCTGCCATAGCTGTTCATTTTGATTCCGTCCGTCCGTCCGTTCGTCGGTCCGTCCGTTCGTCGTTCCGTTCGGTTTATTTAGCTATGTATTTTTATTTCATTATACGGATTTTGCCTGCCTTTCTGCTGTTATCTGCTGGCAGTTTATGAGACAACAACACTCCGGCTAACTGACCATGAAAACGGCCACAAGGAGCGGAAAAGCAGCAGGGATGCGATGCGACAAACTTAAGTAATATATACCCGCACTCGCTGCAATGTCGGAGAAAAGCTAATGGCGTCGAGATAAAGGCAAAGTGTCCGATTTCTTCTCTGGTTAATGTCTTTTGAATGGCGGCAGAAGGGCAAAGGGGTGAACTCAATGTGAGTTAATACCCTAAACTTATACTTTGTAAAGTACAATTTATGGGTTTAACTTTTAAATTAAATTTAAAACAAACTAACATATAAAAGAAAGCTAACATTATATTCTGAATAAACAAATATATTGCCAAGTGAAAATATTTTGATTTAATAACCCCAAAAAGTTTAAATAAATAATGTACACATTTTATCAGATTAAAATCGGGATTAATGGTTTTGAAAAATTAGGCTTAGATTATTTTTAATGTTGATTTAGTGTCATCACGTTGATGGGTTGGGTATCAAAATACATATATTTATTGTTTGTTTAAAACTGAAATTTGTTATTCGTGTTAATGATAATAACAGCTATTTATTTTAATGTCACACAGGCATTTTGTCACACTTTTAAAAAGAACACTTAAAACGCAAATAACGCAGATAACTAAAATTGGAAAAGTTATAAGTCCCAAAAGTCGGGCTTTGGTTCAACTTTTCGCAAACCATTGAAACCACAGACAAAACCTGGCATGCAAAAAGGTCAAAAAATTAAAGAAACCTCTTGATCACCTCAAATTTCCGCAAACAGTGGGATTCCAAACAATCCCAATGACTCCCTGACAGCTTGAATTAATATTTATGCCAGATCTGTTAATATGCAAATCCAATAAATCCAACAGCAGCAGCGTTCCCTTGACATTGTTTCATCTTATTCCCGACACTTGCAGCAAAGCCAGCCTACAAATTCGAATCGAAAAATTACTCATTCGCCAACGCGCCGCTCACTTGGCAATTAGTCACCTGAACAATCTGCAAGTACAAGCGGATTATACCGGCAGCCGAATAAATGCATACGGATACCGAACACTAAAAGAAGTTTATGGTATACAATATTCAATCATAAAATTAAATATAATTTAACTTTAATAAACACAAAAACCATTATGTTTCTGTATAACAAACCATAAATACTGCTTCTTAAAAATTCTTAAAAATAACTCTGAGTATCTTTTCTTAATCAGGATATTTGTTTCAAGTGCACTCGTATGTTAATACATTTCTTGCATATTTTGCATATTACATTTATCCGCAACGCCGCCGATTCAATGGGCGTGAGCGGGTGTTGTCATGATATTCCATTTCGCATTTAGCACTTCACATTTAACATTTTGCATTTTGCATTGGCATGGCGCACACGCCTTGGCCTGAAAATGCGGAATGGAGGCAACGATCTTTGCGTTTTTCGTCGGATTCTTCGGTTTCCCAGCCCCGCGATTACCAATTAAAATGCGTGTGATCGATCGCTGCAGAAGTTGTTTTTTCCCAAATTCGCGAATACGGCAATTTTTGCACGTGATGCACTCGCCGAAATTCCATAAGCTCACTTGCTCTCAAAATTTACGACCTGTTGTTTTTTGACGTTGATCTATGTTTTTTTTTGTTCCAATTAAAAGCTGTGAGAGAGCTTGCCAAGAAGAGGGAGAAAGAAAATGAAAGATTGGGGGAGAGCAGTTGGAGCTACTCTCTCTCTCTCATTGGATGAGAGAAAACGAATAAAGAGAAGGCTGTCATAGAAGAAGCCGGCTAGCCGGTAAAAGATCAACAAAAAAAAGATTTAATGCATGGCTGCAAAGAATGCGGGCCAAGAGAGAGTGAGAGGGAGCTTTTCTTTCGCGCAATCTCACTCTCTGAGCGCCACGCTCTCCCCCAAGACCCCAAACCATCTCTCTCTTTCTCCCCCCGAAGAGCGAATACGACTTAGGTCTCCAACAAGCTTTAAATTTGCGGCGAACAAGCTTAAAAATTCAGTTAAATTTCAGCAGTGATCGCGTGAGCTTTGTCGACTAAAAAGTCTCGATTTAAGCAGCCACAATTAATTTTCGTTTTGTGAAGTGAACAGAAACCATGTTATAAAAAAAAAAAACAGCTAACCAAGCCCACGAATACGAAAAAAAAAAAATTTAAAAATACAAAAGAAATGTGTGTAGTGTAATGAGCAAACAGCAAATCATGTGAAAAACCACAATTTATGCTCGAGTGACAAGAAAAACAAAACGAATTTTACGTGGCAGGTGTGTAGAAGCGCATTCCACAGATTGTACATAATCTATATACTATACGGTGCTGGGGAATCTGCGACTAAGTCATTTTTCTCTCCCCCGTTCTCTGTTCGTCGTACTACCTTTTTTTTCGCTGATTATATAAGCCAGCATAAAAGTAGAAGGGTAATGACGGTAGCGTTGTTGGCCCATACAAACACCCAATATGGCTATACAAACAAACACCGACACGCACATTGGGACACGTCGAGCGTACATAGATAAGATAGCATAGCTAATAATATAACCACGGGGAAAACTGTACAATAACGTCATTTATAAAATATTTATGGATTTGGCGTACGTTTTTTTTCTGTTTTTTTTTTTTATATTTTTCCTTGGCGTTTTTGCGTTTCCTAAGCGATTTCCAGATGCTGCCTGAGGTCTATTTAAACATTATTCGCAGGCATTTGCTAAATAATAAACAAATTATAAATAGGTAACTTAATAAAAAGCCCGATAGCGAAAACAGATGAAAACGGCAAACACCAGATGAGAAAATACACAGGGACAAATAGTCGGCGCGACTGACAGATCGTCAAATGCTGAAAGCTTTTCGTATAACTATGCTCGATGTATCTTTGTATCTCGGCATCGTTTATCATGTATCTCACTCCCACTCGCTGGCTGTCACTTGGCCAGTGTCGCGTTTTTATTTGTATTTATCTTTTTTTTTGTTCCCCCACTTTTTGTTTACACTAAGAAATCAAGGTTAAAAGCGCAAAGCGGCATGCGTAAATGGACAGAAATTAGGCAGAGGTGGTTGGAAATTTATCGCAACGATCGAACAATTTGATTTCATTAGCCCTACCTTACGATACCAGTACCTGACTATGACTATATATAATACCCCCGCTCCGCAGCGGCACGCACACCCCATTAAAGACTTATTTAAGCCCAACTACTCGCAGAAACACAAAAAAAAAATATACAAAAAAAAAGAAATAAGCGGGGCAAGCTTTAAAGAGCCGAGAGCAGAAAAGCAACGCCGAAAATAAGAAACCAGAGCAAATAAATAAAAGTCGGAGGGGGAAGTGCTTACGTGACGGAGTCGAAGTTTCAATGCCCTAGGGAAAATTCGTTAAGATGCGTCCGACAAGAGTTATGGCCGAATATTTCAGATATAAGCCACGCTTAAGGGGTTTTATTAGAAACAAACGATGCGTTTCTAAGCAGTTCTTATATCTCAAAATGAAAAAGAAATATAATAAATATTAGAAAAAATTAATAATTATTTATTAGGATAAAAGAGGCATGTTAGAAACTTTATCCAATGCTTTGAATCGTGTACATATATTAAACTATTAGGCGGGGATTATTAAACTTATGCATGCATACGTTTGCTATGAGAATAACTCTTTAACATTCATGCTATTCTCTGAAATAAAAACTCTAGTAGAAAAAAACCAACTCCACAAAATAAAAAACCAGAGAAAATAAATGAAAGCCATAACAAGGAGAAACTTAGAACTCAAAGTGGAAGTTTTAATGCCCTAAGAAGAAACAATCCAAAGCTTAGAATGTATTTATGAATTCAATAAAAAGTAAGACACACATAAATAACAAGGTAACTCCCTTTTTTTACTCACATCTTTGAATCGTTCTGAGCTTGAAACCATTGAAGAACTCCATCAAATCCCGCTGGCAAACCATTTAGAGTTCAAAGCGATTCCCATTACCAGCTCAGCGAAATGCAAATGAAAGTTCAGCAACTGAATGGCAATGCCAGTTGCTCCGCAACACAAAAATTTGACTGAAAAACTTTACAGACTCCACCTTGAAAGGGTATTCTGGGCAAAAAGCGAGCGGCATCGAGCAAATTCAGAGGTCAGAGCGAGGCAAAGCGACCAAAAGCATAACAAAACCGTCATGAAACGAGACGAGACGACGACTTCGACCAGCGGCGTACACTGCGATGAAATCTGATACCATTTCGCATCAACAAGAAGCCAATTGGAAGCCAACATCAAAACAATATGTATGCTTCAGACTCCGCTGCAAACTTGAATACGAATTTGAATAATACTTTGCATACAATTTGTATAACTTCTGTAGGTGAAAAAAAGATATATCCATGAACTTCCGAAAGTCATATAATTTGTAGACACCAAAGCGAAAATATTGCTGGGCATAAACAACACGAGATTTGACAAAAAATATGTGCAAACATTATAATATACAACCAGGTGATGCTTTATATTATATTCTTGTCATTTATCTATTTCTTTTTTCAAATAAATAATCCTACGTGGTGAATAAAATAGAACCAAACGAACCTCAAATCAAGCATTAAATACAAACTAGATCATTAATCCCATAATTTTTCCTTATAATTTTATCGCATCGCATAAAGGGGAAGCAACAACCAAAATTTTATGATTCTATAGAAATTCCAACATGTAGTTAAATTCATTTAATATTTTTCATATGGTCCATAAAGGCGTATTTGACTCAAGATGAAACTGTGACGTAAAAACTATAAATTTCTCACTGAATTCCAAAGCAGAAGGCGGATTTATTAAGCATTTAGCAAAATCATTTGACGTCATCGCTATCAAAATGTTACAATGCTATTTACAATCACAGAAGGTTAGGCATGTAAAATTATGGATTTAATAGTATGAAATAAATAAACTGTTATAATATTCTATACAAGTTCTTTTATATTTAATATTATTGTTTTGCAAAATTACTCTATTTTTGAGCCGTGTTCTTTTTCGTTTAAAATTTTGCAAGCCAACTCCGAATTGCAATGCGCTGAAAAGAGATGACGAGCTTTATGGCAGTAGCGGTGGCTATGGCAACAGAAAGAGCCGAGCTGCCCGCACATGAGGTTCGCTCTTAGCCCCGTAAGCCCCCTCCCCAACCCCCCATCCCTCCCCTCCTCTCCGAAAAAAATCCCCGCTCTTAACCCCATAGTACCCTTTGTAATCGCCTCACCCTGCAATCCCAATCCCCCTTTCCTCCAACGTAACTTTCAAGTGCGGCCTGCTGATGTTGCTGCTGTGCCGATGTTGCTGCTGTTGCTGATGTTGCTGGTGTTACTCTTGTTGTTGCTGTTGTTGTTACTCTTGTTGTTGCTGTTGCTGTTGTTGTTCCTTTTGTTGTTGCTTTTGTTGTTGCTGCTGGCTCATCAAAAAGCCAAAAGTTGTTGAACGTGAAATTATTGTACGCGAACACGAGCAAATACCAAGGCAGTTGTGTGTGTTCGCAAGTATTTATGCACACGCACACACACAGAGCCAGGCGGGTTTTGCATATGTGTGTGTGTGTGTGTGTGTGTTGCCGCTCGAAAGATAAACAGCAGAAAAGAAAAAGCCGTAGCTAAAGCCCAAAGCTAAAGCCAAACTGGAAGCATCGCATAGATGCATCAGATTTCGCATTCAAGTGAAATTTATGGCAATAATAAAGCTTAACTTGCGTTCGAGGTAAAAAGATGATGAACTATGCAGAACCGAGTAGAAATGTAGGAAAAGTGGGAAAAGTGGAAAAGGAACTGGAAGTTGGCATTCGTCAGCGTTTCATAGTCAAATTGCCATTCGTCGTTGCCAACTCACTCACAATCACCTCCCACTTTTCACAGCCCCTTTGTCTTTGTGCGAGGGAAAAAGTTACTTTGCCGCTATCGGAATTTAGTCATCTACACAAATATGCGATTACCGCACACTACCCGAGATACAGATACATAGATATACAGATACTACAGATATAAGCTGAGAAGAATGCCCGAAGGTAATCGCTCAGTTAAGCGAGTATATATGCACTACCTCCAAAGCAAATAGAAAATGCAAACGGGAAAACTCTAAGCAGTTAAATGCCTGTTTTATGTATTTAAGCATTAGTACGGTTTCTTGGTAAAGAAGTTCTTCTTTTTTTAAACCTTTTCCATATGATATCAGTTTGTTATCATTATATTTATCAAACACCAAATGATTAGGTTTATATGTATGTATGAAAAGCAAAACTTTTTGAATTCCATTGCGACTTCTAATTTCTAATCGCAGATACATTACGCGCCCAGCAATTATTATGTTATTAATTTATTAGAAGGCTAGGGAAAACTTTTCCCATTGATATCATATCATTCCCTAAAAATGATTTTCTAGTTTTTGTGCTTCGATTTAGGGAGAACTTTCCCAAAATCGAAAGTCAGAAGGTGAGAGCGTAAAAAGAAAACAAGTGACAACAGGAAGCTGAGATTAAAAGATCCGACAAAATCCGACCCAAATAAGATAAGATCTGTTTGGTGAAGCCAACGAGACGATAATTAAAATTCCTCCAGATACAAACAATATCTGCGCTGATTGTTGTCAGGCCAACTTCTCGGAATATCCCATTCATTTTTTGTTGCCATTTATATCCAATTTTCGGACTACTTGTTCGCCCGTTTTTCCTTTTATATATTCGAATTTTTTCTTGTGTTTTTTTGGGTTCATTAATCCGGAATTGTTTATGGCTCCGCTTAGCCAAATAGACGATGTTTATGGGGAACTCTCTTTGAGGCGTCAGCACACAATCCATAGGTTACTGAACCGGCATACTCGTACTCTCGTCCAAAGCAAATAAATTCCCAGAAAAGTTTCTATGGCCGCAAACAGTCGGTTTCCACATGCATGTACATCTGTATATGTACGATATATATCGCAGTTGGATGTGTAATCATGAGTGGACTCACTCGGGAGATATGCATGCAACAGGAATCTGGCAGCTCGGGTTTATCGCCTAAGTGAAAAACAACACTCCGTAATTAAAGCGTTTTTCACCGAATTTTGTCTACCTGGTCTGAGTAATGCAAATTGTGCAGTCGATAAGATAAGGTCGTAAAGCTCTCTCATTTGCGCCAGCTGCTGTTTTGTCCTCCACCTGAAATTTGATGAAAGGAAATTCAGTTTCCCCCGCACACAAAAAACTAAACAGAGCTCAGCTGAATGGAGTAGAGGGATCGTATCTTTTAAATCTCCGGCGTGGCTGACAGGAGAGTGGGTGGATGCGTTTAGGATTTGATTGAATGCATATGAAAAGCAAATCATCGTTGGACATTCAATGCCAATAACACACTGTAAAAATGGTGAAAGTGTGAAAGTAAAGAGGAAACCCACTAAAAGGATTAAATATTATATTATAATATGGTATCACAAAATAGAATCTAACCAAAGAAAATGTTATGCATTATTTATTGAGCCTTGAATTAAGCAATATGTTATCTTAGACAACAATATATACCTGGTTATATTAATTATTGTCTCAACTTAAGATAATTTATCATAAACATTTAACATCCAAATTTTTCAACGTATAATAATTTCATTTAAACACTTTTAATCCCGTAACCTACGAATCAATTGTTTTTATTTAATAATTTAAATTTCACGTTGCGAAAACTATAAATATTTTTTTTTCATATGATTTAATTTTCATAATGTTTGTTTTTGCTCTGTGCACACACGCACAAATTTGTTCGATTCGGACACGAGCCTGGACATGGACAGGTCTTTTATGGAGTCCCGGGACAAGGCATCTGTGTCCGCCCCCAATTTTCTACCCAAATACCCCCCTTGTTCGGACATTGTGTGGGTCGTGTACCTTTATCAGTGCCTTTTCAGTGCCAGGTCCATTCAGCAAAGCCAGAAAACATGCACAAACATTTTTCAGTTGCCGGGGAAAAGCTGACCCCGACCCTCACTGATACCCCCTACATACCCATACCCATACCCATACCCAATACTCATACCCAATACTCATACCCATACCCATACCCGACGTCCCAAAAATGAGAGACTGGCACTTGGTCATTAAAACTACTCGCAGAGTCGAAAAAAAAAGGTTGCTATTTTTAGCAGTGACGAAACGGCAAACCAAAGCAAACCAAACCGACCCGAGAACCCGAAACATTTATTTTTTCTGTCGAGATGGGCATTTCGATTCGAAGGCACCTTCTTATTAACGCTTTGAGTGTTTACTGCCTTTTCGCTATTCTGTTTTTCCTTTTTCTGGCGAATGCAATCGAATTAGAATTCGCATTTCATCAGATGTGAGGAATAACAAATAAATTTTGTTGATCACAGAGAGAAAAAATGTTTGCGAAATGGGAACACCATTTTTTATTACATTCCAATGAATCTGTTTTGCTTCGGACTTTAAGGTATTTCCTAAAACAATAAAGAGGGGTTAGGGAAAAAATTTCAAAGAAATACATTAATTTAATCTTTGCAAAATATAGTTTATTGGGTGGAATCCACATTATGTGCACATTTTTTGGCAATTAAACTTATTTTTCTTACCTTGTATAAAAAGAAAATTATTCTTTAGAGATTTGAAATAAACAAAATATTTCTGCAGAAGACATTTTTGATAAAATTTTGTCGTTTCACTCTCTTTGCAGTTCATTTTCGCCGAGAAGATGCCAATTGATTTTGATTTTCGCAAATTATAACGAGACATTTATATGATTTGATAGCGAGCCAGAAATTCGCAAACAATTCGCGGTGACCAGGCAAGGTCATATCGATTGTCATCAGCTGCTGTCGGCACCCCACCGCCCAACGCCCAACGCCACCCACCACCCACTTTCCACCTCCCAGTCACCAAGAGCCCCACTGAAAAGCCAAACAGAGCAAATATGCCAAGCTTACACGAGCAAAGGAGGTGCTTGCACCAGATGCTAATAATATGTTTACTCGTATTTGTTCCCAGTGCAACGACACGTAAGTAAAGCCACCCCAGCCATGCGATTCTGCAAGATCGTATATTATATATTATATTTACCCAACCTTAACAAAGGGAACAGTTTAATTTGTGTGTTTATTTATTGCCATTGTCTGGGGATTTTGTCAGCTATTGGTTTAGGACCTTATCATATTGAATTAGTATCATCAGGTAGTTCAACATCGCCCCCACAATGCAAAAAAGAAATGCATTGTTAAGCTTGAAAAGTCCACAGGTGCTGACGGCAAATATATACTCCGCGTTCTTCAGAAACAGACCATAGTAATGCATCTACGGATACAAAATTGGAAAAAGATTAAGTGCATTAAAAACCATTTATAAAATATATATGCTTTAAATAAATAAATAAGAAATAAGAAAAATATTTACAAGCAGATTTAGCAACTATTAAAACAGGAAATTTAATTTAATAGAGCCAACAAATGTTTGGAAGCCACTGTTTATTCATTTATTTAACTGCTAAGTCGGTGTTTCTCTTTCATGTAGTTTTCATATCATTATGTTTCTCCAATTATAGTTAAAAACATATTATAATTCCAATCAGCAATGATTAGTATTTGATGAGGTGCGATTTACGATCAATTCACGCTGAATATAAATTACTCTTGATTAATTCTAATACCAATTTTTTACTCAAATTTTCGCACTCATCTTATTAGCATATAAATAGTTTTTGTACTTATACGAAACTAATGAGTCAGCTCTTTTTTAATATAATAGAGATTTTATAACTATCAATAATATAGATTTAAATTTGCACTGGCTTTTATTTGATTTCTGATTGTACGAGTATAGTATATTTTAAATCGTACAATATCGTATATTTAAAACATATATCCAACTTACAGTGTGTTTGAGTTGCTTGACCGTGATTCTGGAGGGAAAAGCTAGACATCCGCGCCTGAGGGTTTCCCTGGTGTAGTTGAACCTCCTTTCCGAGTAGTAAGTGGGCAAAATCATCATACAAAGATTTGTAAAGAGACCAATCATAAAGGCAAACGCCCAATAGTTGAGCGGGAACGATCTGCCAAACTTTCGCAGTATGAACTTGCTGTACTTCATGAAGTACGTGAAGAACAGGTGAATCATGCACTCTATGGGCACATAACCCACAAAACATATAGCTTGTACACCGCACAGATGGCAAATAGTGCGGTAGAGTTTCAACAGTTGCCGGTGCACATTAAGTAGGCTCCACAGCTCGAGGGACAACCATTTCTGTTGATTTCTGTAGAGCTCCCGGCGATTTCGGCCAAAACCGGCTGTAAGGGAATTTTCAAAAATTCTCCCAGCATCCGCGAGAATTGTGGCCAGCAGCAGATTGGAGTGTTGAACCAAGTGGCCGAGAAATAGAAGCGCCAAGATGTACATCCCGAGGGAGAGTTGCAGGATGAGTTGGCAGATGGGGATGAAAAAACAACTGCAGGCGTAGAGGAAGTTCGTTCGCACCTCGGGATCGTCCTTGATTACCTGGATGGGATGAGCCCAGGAGAGCATAAAGGCGCACAGCAGCACGACCACCTCCACCAGGTGGGCCTTGGTGGCCAAACCATCCAGCGAATCCCTCAGCTTCGGGGTGTGCATCAGTTTTCGCAACTGCCTGCGGCACTTGAGCAATCGATTGAGGCACCCGATGATCTCCGCCTGCTTCGAGCAGTGTATCCACAGAGTGATGAAGGCACAGGCCAGCAGCAGAACGTATCGATTGAAGCCAATCATAAGCAAAATTTTATTCTGTCGCAGAAAGGACATTCGATTGTAGATAACCCAGAAGGCGAAGGGGGAGAAGACGCCCACAAAGATCAGCATCAGCCAGCCGTGGATGCGCCAGTAGAGGCTCCGCCTCATCCTCTGCACTCCCCGTGGACTCGAGTTGGCCGTGGCCAGCAGGCCGAACACCCTGGTCAGCCTGTACAGTAGGGACAGGGCCGCAGAGCCCAGCAAATGTAGCCAGCGCGGCGGCATCGCTGTGATTCGATTCGCTTGGAACCGAACGGGGAACGCAACTGCTAGTGGCTCGCCCAAAGGCAGTGGCATAATCGAATCACAGCCACAGGCGGCACTCAAGGCACTGCACTCAGAGAAAATATGAGTGCCTCCTCGGGAAGTCGATTTGGGGGGTTAGCTACTTTTTAAGGGAAACAGAAAGCTTTCTAAAACACTATAAGCTTAAAAAGATCATTGCATATTCCCATCTTAACGATTTATATTTGAATATCACCCTTAACATTTAAAGGAAAAATGAATATTGTTAAATAGAGTATAAATTTATGTTGCAATAATACTTATTTTCTTAACGTTCAGGTTGCTTACACAACCCAAGCATTAAAGAACAAGTAAATCCCGCATCAAATTTTATTGTCAACAACATAGTATTAAACCAGATTAAAGAAAGGATTACATTTTATTAAAGCAAATCCTAAAACTACACACACATTTCCAAATAATAAATATAAACAACAATTTTAATCCCAAAGAAATACAAGATTTTTGCAATCTTTTTGTTTTGCCAGCTCTTGCAAAAGGAAACACAAAGCTACTTTGAAAACGTAGAGTTTTTTTTGATTGAGCGGCAATTTCCATTCATGAAAAATATTTTCCAAGTGTGGTTACGCCAGCTATTAGCCTGATTGAATTTCGTTTAGCCAAGGCGTTCACTCAGCCAGATAATCTGGCCAGATAACACACTCAGTGAGCAGCCCAAAAGTGCCACAACAAAAGGGTTCGCCGATGGATAGATGGTCGAATGGATGGATGGATGGAAGGCTGATTGGTTAACAAGACAGGGGAAAATCACATTGGCCGAGATACTCGGATTGATATTAGGTAAAATCGGAGAGCTTATGGTCTGTGGCTTACTTGCCCCAGCAGATGCCGAATCAATCTCAGAGATACAGATACAGATGCCTGCCTGCCACCAAAATCACTCAATTTGCAAGTCGCTTCAGGTGTTTGTGTGAATGCGATTGTGTTTTTGGGGTTAAACTGGATTTCCAATCAGTGCCGAGCGCCGGCAAATAAACTAACAATTTAAATTCCTGAAACAGTTGGCCCACTCGACTGAAGAGATTCCCTGTTCTCGTATCTTCTCATTTGTATCTGTATCCGCAGGCCACAAAGACAGGACGTTGTCGCTGGATTATTAAAAAAGTTTTTCGCTTTTAAAGAGTTTTTTCTCCCCTTCTTGTCCTTTTTTTTTTTTGCATTCATGCTACATAAAATGCAAAACACTCGAGTGTCTGTATGTGTTAGTATGTGTGTGAGTGTGTGTGTGTGTATGTGTTCGAGTTCGTACTTTCATCCTTTATGAAAACTTTCCACGGCTGTTTATAAGTTTCTCACCGAAGAGCAAAAGTGGCAGCAGAAGTGGGGAAATATATAGAAAAAATATAAATAAAAAAAGGAAAAAAATAGCCATCCATGTATCCACAAAGCCTGTGTGCGCTTTTGTCCTCCTCCTTGGGTATCTTGTATCTGGTTCTAGCCGCTGGTTCCCAGATTCTATAGCTTCTGGTTCTGTCGCCGGCCCCGACTCTATCTGAATAGGCAGCCAAGTGTGCGGTTTGCTCTTTATCTGGGTTAGGTGGCCGGTTGGCCAGTCTGACAGTTGCCACAGTTGCTCCGCCGCTCGCTGCAAATTGCGATGCAATGTCCTCGTCTGACGGCTAATTCATTCACATTTTTTATGGCACTCTACACCAGCCGGAGAGGTATCTATTTTTATCGGATGCAGCTTGAAGAATCTGCATATCAATATTTTAATTAGTTTCTTTTTAGTTAAGGTGGCGGGGCCATTTTATATGTACAAATCTGCAATATAAAAATTATTAACATTTTTGAAATCCACTTTCCTTCATTTCAACATTCACCAACTAATCAAATTTCAATGAAATTTAAGATTAAAAATAAGGTTTAAAGATATTAGTTTTGTGCATTGTTGAAAAAGAAAAGAATTTCTAGAGTATTACATATTAAGAAAAAAAAGTACTAAAGTTCAATTTTGAAGTTGAGATAATTTGTTAAACAAGTCAAGTTCGATAATATAATATTTTGTAAATTGTTATGTATAATGGCTAAAACTAATTCGTTATAAGGCATGACTGTTATATTGAAAAGTAGGGAAAATTGTAAGGAAATAAACGTAATATCTGTTACTTTTGATTCATACAACAGGTGTAAATAAATCATTAATTCGACTAAAATGAGTAAATACAAAATAGAGCATATAACCTCCGCCAAATCCCAAGTACGAACACATTTTGGCGCCGCAATCAGGTTGAGCCGCATTTAAATTGTTTTTATTTTTTGGACATGCCTCGTTTAAATCTAACCTCCCGCCGCCAAAACTTCAAAGTCGAACTGCGGATACGAGGCGGCTGACAACTGTCCCAGCTGTCCCGCTGATAACACGACAGCGTCAGCGGACAAATGCGAAAAACAACGAACAAGTAAAACTTTAATTAAATAAAGTGTAAGAAGTTTGTTGGGCTCCTTCAAAGCGGCCGCCGACCCACCGAAAATCCTCCGACCCGCCAAACAATCCCCACAAACATTCTGCGCCCCCGACATCAAAGTCCATGGGCCAAAGAAAGGAACCAAAAAATGCCGAAAAAGTTTAGTTTTTAATATTCGACAGGCTTGGGAGATTCTTATGCTTAAATCAAGTAGATTTTTCCAGCCAGATATTTACTTTTGTCCCGAACAGAACTTGATTGTTTACCCGGAAAAAGGAAAAACCGACGGACGAAAAAGTCAAAGGGCATGGCAAGAACGAGAGGAAAAATCCCATTATATGGGCGAGTGAAAATGACAAATTAACTTGAACAATGAGCGCACACGTTTCGAAGAAAGGAGAAAACTCCGCAAATGAAAGGGAACTCGCGAAGAAGGAAAAATGGGAAGAAAACAGAGAAAAGTGCTTCAGTGAATTTAGTCTCAGGTATAGAATATAAAATTAATGGAAGGCAAACACCGTCAACAATCAATGGCAAGTGGGAAAAACTTTAATTGGTTCAAGTTTATTCCATTACTTTTCCACTCGGCGGGGCTCCGGTGTCCCAGGTTAATGAATCACTTACCTAGATAAGCTACGGACATTCGATCCGATAAGTTGACCTTAATGCATTCAGTTTTATTTCGTCGACCCTGCAAAATAAAGGAGCTATAATTAAGGCAAAGAAATGGGCAAACTTGTGAAAAAATACGCTCCAAGGGTGGAGGATAATAAATTCACTGTAGATATCGAGTTTTAAACATTAAAGTTTCATTTGAGAAAGAGTTCGAACGAGGTTTATATAGTATGAGATATAAATTGAATGAAATATATGAATATAAAATAATATAATAATATATAATAATAAATATACATATTTTCTCTATTTAATATTTCCGATTGAAATGGAAAACAATTTCCATTTTTATTTATTTACCAATGGTTTTTAGCTCGATATCAAATACTTATTGTCAATAAATATAAACTTGGCGAAACATTTTATTATTTTGACAAAGTTTAGGCTTTAAAATGTATAGAATTTTTAAGTTTTTATTGATGCTGCAGCAGAATGTATTTAATTTTCTTTTACGTTTCAATCCAGTTAGCAAAAAGTACTGCCCTTTCCAGCAAGACTTCAGTTTATTTGTGCCTCGAAAAGTAGCTTTACTTGGCACCACTATTGTTACTTTCTAGCTTGTACTTAAGCCCTGCACTTTGCCATAAAGAAGCCAGCACCACTTGAGGTGACCCCCATTAAGACCACCCCACGTCCATTACTACTCGGGCGCACCTAAGCTGCAACTGAGACCCTCATATTTTATTGACCACCACTAACGGCCGAAACTTACCGACCATAATTTCGTTACAGTTGGCCAGGATCCGCTGCCGGATGTGTGTGAGGCGATTAAATGCCCGCCGGACGCCGAAATGCAATGCCCGGCGGACAGTTCGGTGCGCGTGAACCTCGTTGCGGTGGACTTGATTAAATCGAATGCGGTGGAGCTGCCGGCCAGCGGTGATACTTCATCATCATCGCCCGATGGAGTATCTGCAGCGGTGTCGTACAATAGCACCCTGATCTCCGACAAGGATTTCGTCCAGTGCTGTTTGAATCGCAAGTGTGTGTGCAAAACTTGCTACATTCCGGACTGCGCTTCAGATGCGGTTGCGGATGCGGATGCCGATGAAGTGGTGGTGGAGCTGGTGCCGGAAAATATGCAGACACCCGGACAATGTTGCGGCACCTACGAATGCCGGACGGAACCGAATTGCACGGTGGCCCGCGACACGAACTTCCACTGGCTGAAGCAATGCCAGCGCTGCAACTGCACCTCGGGACTAAAGATTTGCCACCAGACGTGTGACGAGAAATCCGAGAGCGTGTGCGCCTCCAAGATTCCGGGAGTGTTCTACAATGATGGGGAAACCTGGACGGATGCCTGCCAGGAGTGTGAGTGCGTGAAGGGCGAACCGAAGTGCACAATGTCCTTTTGCGGCAATCTCAATTGCCCAAGCGAAAGGCAGGTCATGCTTAAGGATACCTGTTGCCCGGTCTGCTGGCCCAAATGTGCACCCATGCCGCATGAAAAGCAGGGCGATGATTCCTACATTGATTATGGCGATGAACCTGAGGCACCAGAAGAAGATCCATTGCCGCCACTGCTGCCCGATCCAATGACCACTAAGGGAAATGCAGAGCTTATAGCCACCACAACAACAACTTCAACGACAACCACAACCACTGCTGCACCGCTGGCCACCAGCAACTGCCACAATGCCTTCGATCAACCGAAAGTCGTGGAGGTGGTTAGCCAAAACAACCTATATTATTATGGGCTTCTGGCCTATGCGGGCATAGCCACCATTGCCATTGGGATTATGGGCTTCCGCATTTACCAGCAGCGTGCCAAGAAACGTTCCTACAATCCGGTCTCCATTCTGGACCACAGCATCTGAGCAAGAGATCTTTCGAAATACTAATAACAATACTAATAGAGAAGAAAAGTTGCACTTAGACCTAAGTATTTTGCTTTTTTCCAACTAAATGTTGTTTGCTTTTTCAAAGTGTGGCCACACTGGCTGTTGAAAATGTTATCGGTGCGTGCAAGCCAGGCCTGGTCACTTTAAAACATTCAGTTTGATCGCTTAGATTGGAATACCAAACAGCCAAGTCCTTCTAATGCCTTTGCTTTTGTTTGTTTGGTATTGATCTCATTTTAACTTTTTACTTTTCACTTGCAACACAACAAAAATAAATTAATCGAAAAGAAAACGATAAGCAACGAACTTCCGCAGCAACAAAATCAAAGTATTCTTATGAAATTACGAAAAAAATATTTAATTAAAAACGAAACAAGAGTTACTATTACTAAGCAAACGCAAATGACGTATGTACATACTGTATGCTTTCGCCTTCCACGGGAAATACACTTTTATTCAGTTTAAGAATTGTATTTAAGAGAACTATAATACCAAATCATATTTACGAGCGAGCAAGCAAAAAGGAAAGGAGTAACTTGCTCGAGACACGTCTTAGTTTTTAGTTTTAGCTCTTAATTTAGGAAGTATGTGATATATACGCTAATTAGCCTACGTAATTTGTCAACCAAGGCACGCTGCTGTTTGTATAAAATGGAAAACAGTATTTGCAACACAAGTCCCGAAAGCCCCGGAACGAAAACGAAAAGGAAGAGCATCGCAATCGCAAATGGAGGTTCAACTTTAGCTAATGTCATAACGTTGCCACATTAATGTATACTGTAAAAACTTTATTTAAATTTATGTTTAATAATAAACCATGATTGGTATGCAAAGCGAGGGAACCAATTAAATTGACTGTTGTTCGCTTTTAATGGTATCTAAATTTATGGGAGCATAAAATAACGGAGCATATCAATTAAAAGGTCGAACTGATAAACTTTTTCTGACCCTAAAATATTAAAAAAAATATTAAAAAATGCAATTTCCCGAAATCTCTTTACCAAAGCTCGACTAACCAATTTTAAATCTGTTCAAAATACAAAATAACCACTTTAAGTTATTCCCATGGGAATACTTGCTTCGTAAACGATATTCAAAAACTTGCCTGGAAAGTTTTGTACACATTTTAAATTCGACCTTCAGAGCCGAACGAAGACAGAGTGGGAAAAGGTCCGCTCCTTGGCAAATTGTATGCTAAGCAGAATGTCAGGCCATGATATGATTTATAATATGTAATAAGTTCCAGCGCAACTTGAAGTGGGTAACATAAAATACATAAAGGTACTGAGGGGAAGATCGAGGGAATAAAAACGAAGAGGGGTGTCCATAGAGACCCGGGGAAAAAATACGAATATGCATGGGAATTGGGTCTTTGGCGGCTCCTTCCTTGTTGAGCCCTCCATTTCGGCTTTTGTTGCGTGGGCGACCCACTTCGCACAAATGGCAGCCCCACAATGTCATACATTTTGTTTAGATTCTTATCAAATGCTAAAACACCATGAATAAGGTATATACGTAAGTATACACTTAAAATAGTTCAGGAGGTTTTCGTTTAAATTAACAACTAAGCATCAAAAATAACATGCAACAAAAAACAGAATTTTAAAACAAAATAAATTTATTTTTACTAATACTAATATGTAGAATGCATGCAAGCAGAATATCTAATTAATAAAATAAATAAAAAATAATTTTAATAATATTATTCTTTATAACAATAAAGATGCAACTACGGAATATTAGAATAAATAATAAAATCAGATTGAAAGATTTATTTATTTATTTGAAAGATATTTATCTTAATTTCTTGAATTTCTTAAGAAAATCAAAAAGAAATACTAGATTTGTATCAGGAAGATTTTAAAGCATCAGAAATAATTCATTGGCAGCCATGTCGTGAGTGTATTCGCATGGGCATTCTACTACACATTTGTACGTAGTTGAGTGGGTGGCATAGTGATTTACAGAGCCATACACCTAATAAAAACGCCACTCGAAGAGGGATAGTGGGCCACTGCATATTGCTTCGATTCAGCCGAGAGCGGATGAAAATAATGATTCGCCACTTGAGACCCCCGTTCGCCGTCTGTGGAAACACGTGTAACCTCCGACGATTGCAACCGTCAAACGTTTTGTAAGGATAAGCAGCGGGGCAAAGGACATCGCATCGAGATGGAGGGAGATGTGCAGGGGGGAAATACACAACAAAGGCCCAACACAATAGACTTCAAGAGTTTGGATGACACTTTGAGTTATTTTGTTGTTGATGCTGTAAAAACACGAAAGCAAGACCCAAAGATATGGGATGGTAGATTTATTGAGGCTCGGCTGGAAGAGCGGCAAAAAGCATCTGGGTTCTGAGGAGCCCTTCGATAAGCGGAAGGACAAGCGCCCACTACACAGATTTGCTTTTGAGCCACAAGCACACACAAAAAACCGAGGAAATATAGAAAGAAAGCATAAAGTGGGTGAAAAAAAGTATACTGTTGAAATTTATATCTCGGCACCGCCATTCAACAGAGCAATAATCGACTAGCAGGGAGAGAAAAATTAACCCTCCAAGAACCTTATAAAGAATATATAGGGGAGAGTGGGGCATTGTCGTCACTTTTTTTTTAATTGCGTAATTTGTTGATAAAATAACTTATTTTTATCATGTAATATACATGGTTGGATTCGGAAAAGATCTGGCTATAAAATGCAGTAAGTATTTCGGACATCCTCTCACTTGTTTATTAATACGAAACTGTTATCTGAAAGAAGTCAAAATTGGAAAATTGAAAAATCGTGGGGCAAAGTCGTCACCCCCCTGGGGCAAAGTCGTCACATAGAATAATGAATGCAAATATAGGAACCCATGTGCACAAAACTATTTCAACTTGTCAAACACACATTTATTGATATTCATACATATAAAAAAGTGGAACACTATACCTATTTTTTGCAAAAATTTGACACATTCAGATCTAAGTGAAGGATAGAAAGCAAAAATCAGAATTTCTTAAAGATTTTTCTTTGGGCGACCTCTTTTTAGAATTTTATTTTTTTTGAAGAACATTTTGGAGAAATTATATTTTATATTTAATACTTTACATAAACAATCACAAAACAATAATAAATTGATACGAGTTTGTATTTCAGTCTGAGATAATACAGTGACGACTTTGCCCCACCCGTTGAGTGACGACAATGCCCCACGCGACATTTTTTGATAAAAACATGAATAACAAATCGAAACTCGAATCAGGTGTTACACAACCTACCATCTCGTGTTCGCCAAACATTTCTCAACAATAATAACTCATCTTTATACTTCTTTGATCAAAAATGTACTTGGAAGAAAAAAAGTTCTGCGCCGGAGAAAAATTACTTTTGAGGCTCCGAAACACTTTCTGATGAATAAATAATTACACATAACCTATAATTCTCCCAAACTCCGTTGGTAATGTAGGAATAGTGCAATACACTTACGCTAAAAAAATTGGGTTGGTAGCCCTTATATTTTTTAAGATAATAGCGAGTGACGACTTTGCCCCACTGACGACATTACCCCACTCTCCCCTACTTACAAAATTTAAAAAGTTTTTTAATACAGTTTTTTGTATCTTTTTCAGCATTTATACAATCAATGAATTTATAAAACAAATGCTTTGATGGAAACAACATTTTTATAATCCTAAATAAAATTTCTTTTGATGAAAAACTTGTTAAAATAATTTCCTTTTTTTTTATGGACATATCTCGCCCACTTGTAGTAAATCGGTTAAGTTGAGAAGGATAGACACTGAAAAGTATCGGAGCAATCAAATCCATGTCTCGAGAAGTGAATGGCCATTGGCAAACATTGCACAAAAAATACACAAAACCGAAGCAGAAAAAAAAAACCGAAGGGAGATTGCAAAGTGCAGACAACAAAGCCAGGCAACAGGAGCAAAAGTTAAAGAGGAAATGGGAAAATATTTTCACAGTCGAAGGGCAATGGAAAAACTATCAACTGAAGCAAACGCTATCGAGCAAACAATAAAGTGCTTTTGTTACTTCGATTGTTTTAATTGATCCTTAACTCACTGAAAATAATAAAATTGAAATGCAATTTACAAGAGGTCTACAAATTTATTGATTGAAAATGTATTTGAAACTTTTCTAAATGTTTTAAATAAGGATGAACTGATTCATACTGATGTATCAAATAGACTAAAAATTTGTTCTACTTTTAAAATCAATTTAACGAGCACTTATCGAGCACAAATATTGTCCAATATCCAGCCAACGTTAATGTGAGCCATTCTGCTCTGAACAGTCAACGGAAATGACTTGATTTGGATCCATGTTTAATGGAAGTGCCATCAATCCGGATCAAAACTGGCCGTCGTTATCGAGGAGAGCACACAGGAGTGGAAATAGAAATGGCAGCTAAAATAGCAGTCGGACTTGTCACATGCCATAAATGCAAATGATTTATCGAGAAAGGCAAACGATAGAGAGAGAACCAATAAAATCATCAAAGACGCCTAACCATTGATAACCGCAAATGAGCTTGGCCAAGAATCCATATCGATTGATACGTACTTATATAAATTTACTGACGGATATGCCCGAAACCTCAATCCATATATCAAAAGCACATTAGCCCGAATTTGAATTGCCAATTGGTATTTACATGGCGAGCTTTACATACAGATGACAAAACCCCAAGCACATGTCAAAATTAAATAATGTACCGCACGATTGCTGACTCGTCCTGCATTTTCCATGGCCTTCCGCCCGCTTTTCCACCACCCACAACGCCCAGCCGCCCAACCAAAGCCACCCACCATCCCACCACTTGTAGACTTGGCGGCATTGGCATTGGCTTTTATTTGAATTCGGTGCGTGCGGCTGTCACTTGTCTGTTGTCTGTTACATTCGCCATGTAAACACAACCGCAGGCAATTTTGGCAATTTGCGTCAACAGGCGAAACACGGAACCAAAACCTCACAACACAACAACAACAACAACAATAAAAAGTGCTCAACCTTTGCAGTGGGAAAAATAATACAAATATTTCGTACTACAATTAATTAAGCATAATATTTTCAAAACCTCCACAAACACACAAATTAAGCAAGTTAGTATTTACTTTATCGATTTTCAGTAGTGCCAATTGCGCTCAATTAAAACAACAAATAAATTGTTTCAAATTAATTAGGTTGAAGTCTTTTTTGAAAAATACTTCCTATAAATGTAGGAATTTATAATTAAATTTTTGGCACACATAAATAAAAATGGTTAAGATATATATATATATTAACTTTGAGTGTAAGATTATACAGTTTTCTGATTTGAAAGTAATCAAATTCTTAATTCCTAAAAATAAAGGAAAATAAATTTAAAAACATTTTGGTACAAGATATAGCTAAAAAATGGGTTAAGAGTTGCGTTTCCCTCAGTGCATTTGCAAACCCCAAAACCCGAAAACAGAACCGGCGGCCAAGAGACAAACGTCTCGCCTTGGCTTAAGCCAAGAGGTAAATATAAGCCATGGGGGCATTTGCCTAGACGGCCCAGATAAAGGGAATACAATGGGTGAAGGGGCGGGGCCAAAAGGGGGCTATGTAAAGTCGCCAGTACCGAAGAAAAGTGTTTGCTTTTCTGCCGAACAGCCAGGAAAAGACAAGCGAAAAAAAAGCAGGGAAGAACAAAAGCGAGACAAAAATTACAAAATACTCAAGCAAACATGGAATAAAGATGCGCAATAACAGGTGAGAGGCTGAAATACCCTTTGGATATTTAGGTAATAAATGTTGAACAAGGTAAAAATAACCATCAATGGTTTTAGAATAGATTAAACATTTTTTGCTCTTTTAATAAGGGATATAAAAATGTTTTAAATGTTTTAAATGAATAATTAACTAATATTTTGTACATGTTAACTATTTTCAACCAAAAACCATAAGCCTTGTTTTTAATACGTGATAATAATAATAACTGTACAACAATCCAAAAGTACTTATCAAAATTAAAAATTAAAATATGTTTCTTTTGATAGTTAATGCTGTCCAATTATTCCCTCGAGCCAATTTCCCCCTCATCCTGGATTACAGGGTGTGAAAGCGAAAAACACAACAAATGGCACAGATACAAAAAATTCGCCACCTCAAACATAAACACTCGCACACACAAACACATACACACGGTGTCACGTAGAGCAACACACACCCTGCAGTTCCAAAAGTGGCTTTTCGTCGATGAAATGGACGACGACCCACCGATGACAGGGGAAGCAGCCACTGGTGGCTATCCGATGACAATTCATATAGTCATTTGTATGGGATCGCCGGTTTTGTCATGCATGACGCTCTGGATGACAATTTTGTCCGTTTCATCGAACGAGTCATCGGTGGCTTATACGAATTTTGTATGGAGAAAATTCGTATAAGCCATTGATGATTTCGTTGGTGACGTGGGGGAGACAATTTCATCGATGGCTTTTGGGAGGACACCCTTAGTGAAATCATTAATGTCAATGTCTAAAAATGTCATCCCCAAATTCATATGAAAAACAATATATATATATTTATTTCTTTTTTAATTTTATTAAAATATCTTATTTTATAACATAAGAGATAAGTTGATAAATAATATGAAATTCGAAAGTTTTTGTTTACCATTTATATGTGGTTACAAATTAAAATGGCTTCTGACGAATATTCGCAGGGCAGCGTCTGTTTTGCGTCCGTCTCCCTTGAAATGGTATAAAAAATATTTTTATTATTACATATTATATATGACTTTTATGATTTAAAAGCAAACTTACCTTTCAAACGAATATATCGGACATATGGCTGAATCTTGAAAATATTTAAGAATATTTAAATAGGTTTTTAGTTAAAAAACATACTATTTTTATAATCTTATCGACACTTACATGATTTTTAAACACTCTCCGCTGCCCGTTGCACAAATTAAGTAATTTCACAACCAATCGTCAACGCACTACGCAAAAGAATGACGCAGGTCAATTTCAATTTTCACCCTTTGCTCCGTTTTTTTTCGTTTTAGTATACCCTTCTTTTTTGGGTTATAGCCGACCATAAATAACTCGCGAGTTACATATGTATATTATTTCCATATTTGTAATTAATGTTATGTCATGTGAAACAACAATAAGCATTTTTATTGCCGAAACGAAAAACTTTGCGATTGCAGTGGTTAATTCTTTGCGCTGGTTTTTATTAGTCGAATAGCGAAAATAAGACGAAAGTTGCGGCGATGCGCACGATAAGGAGTTCAGATTTCAACTAAACTTTTAATTTCATAAAATTCTCTTACATGCCTATACCTAAAGTACTGAGCGGGAGATCGGCGGCCGAATTCGCCTGAGCGAGAAAGCTTTATTAAGCCCCGACCCCCGCTTTACATAAACATAACAAGAGAACTCTCCAAACATGGTTACCTTGGTTCAATAATTTACATAATAATGTATATATAAACTATATTATATATATAAGTTTATATATATTATACCTAATATATGAAGAACTTTAGCATCAAAAGAGTATACATAAGTCGAGCGCCCCTCAGCCATATTTCCCATCGAAACCCAAATTGTTTCTAACGGAGAATGACAACATTGCAATAAAAAAAAACGAAGACAAATTTGGAGTCGGGCCGCCGTCGGATGCAAGCAACGATTCGTATTATAAGAGTGAGAAGGAGAGGGAAACTTAGGAATATCCCTTTTCCTTTCCTACACACACGATTGCTTAAATGACACGAGTCACCAGGTGACAGCCAGAACTGCAGGGCAGTGACAGAGACACGGGCACACACACACACATACATATAGTGGCATGCAGTAATTTTATATTATGTACCAACCATATATAAATATTTGTGCAAGGTAAGCGGAATATTTTATATTTGCCGTCGCTTCGTGACGTACCAAAGCGAAAACGAAACGAAAATCCGACATATTACGTATACGTACGTATACGTAACCTATCGAGGATGCTTCGCCAAATGGAAGGAGACTCGAATTCGACTCGGATTCAGATTCACAACAGACTGGTGGAAGGGGATGGGGAAGGAGCAGAAGCCTTTAAAATCGGTTGGCGTAAGCATCTGCATGCACCGCGGAAATAAATCAAGAAATAACATTTACACGTTCGTTTTATGTTGTATTTGCCACGTAACAATAAAAGACTCAGCCCCCTGACAATCTCCACTAGACCAATTTTCACCTACCACCCATCCCACCCATCCACCCACCACCCACCAAACACCCAAAAGCACGTAAACACCCACTAGACCAAAACGGGATGGCAGTTCGGGGAGTTCTGGGATTTCTGGGATTTTGGCGGGTATCTCGACGAAATTGGGGGACAAAAGGACTGGGGCCGAAAGCTGCAAAGCCAACCAAGACAATGCCACAAAGGAATTATTTACTACGTGATACAACACTGAAGTCATTCCCGGATAAATGTGCTCTGGTGCTCAGTTTCCCGCCACTGGTTTTCCCGCTGATGGCTCCTTTCGGGCGCAGAGATGGTAGCGTGATGATCGCATATGATGGCTGAGGATTGGGGCTTTCATAATTTATTAATGCACTTATTCCCCAGCAGACTTGGTGAACAACAAGCTTCTCATTTAAATTACAAAATCGCGTAATTTTGCATTTATTTAGTCCGTTGTGCATTACATACCCCCGCAAATCGCAGAGTGGTTAGCTGTCATTTATAATTAAACCGAAGTTTGTCAAGGATTCTTTACCCCTTTTTTTACAACAACAATTCCCGTTTTACTAATTATAGCTCAATATATATTTCCATAAATTGATCAACATTTTTAGATAACAGCCCTCTTAGTACACTAATTTATTAATAACCAAAATAAACATCACAGCATAACTTAAACAAATTTCAAACAAAATACGCCAATAAATTAATTATTTGCTAAAATCAAGATTCGCTTTGTATACGTTATGCAAATATTTTCACAACAATTTGATTAGTTGACTCACTCACATTTTATTGCTATTTTGGGTGTGCGTTTTATTTAAAATGCTTTTAATCGTTTTTTCTCTTTTCATAGACTCTCTAAAATCTGTCAAAAATCGAATTTAAATGGACTGTCAACAAATTAAAAGTTAAAAATATATGAGCTTTTTCAAATAAATTTTTTTTTTTTTTGATAAAAGGATTTGTATAATTTGCATAACACTTGGCCTTTATTGTAAAGGTTTAGAACTTATTGATTGACCTAGTTTAAAATGCTTAACCATACTTGTTTATATATTTATTCGTATGATTTGGAATTATATATTAAATAACTAAGCCCTTGTGGAAAATAATGTAAAATAGTAAAACAGTTAATACACAAGAATGCACACTTCTCTTGCTAAATGAAGACATAACTTGCAGAATTTTACAATCCCAATTAATACTTTATGAGGTCGCTGCCATCATCCATTAGCTGAAACTTGAGGGAGCGTTAAGCTCCAATCACGCTGCCATCCTTAGTCCGACTTTCGAGTGCCAAAGGGAGTGAAAGTACTATTAATACATAAAGAAAGCATTTCGCAGCCATAAGCGCAGAAAGGCCATCGTCACGGCCATCGTCATCCTCAGCCTCATCCTCATCCTCAAACTCATCGCCATGGCTATAGCTTTGGCTATAGCCGTAGCTATAGCTATTGCCGTGGCTATCTGGCGGATCGGAACGGGGCGAAAGGCACGCGGCGCATTAAGCAAACGACCGCGGCGAACGTTTTTGTTGCCGGCCAGCTGCAGAAGCGCAATAATAAAATTTTCCCGCAGCAGGAGTGCGAGGGCGGAAAATTGGCTTTAAGATGAGCGGTGGAAAGCGGATGCCAGCACCAACAACAACAACAACAAGAGAAGGAAAAATCGCCAACGCAGTTGCCATAAGATAGTGGAAAGCCGGGAAATTCGGGCTGGCTAATCAGCTGTGCGCACGCTAAGTAAGTTTATTAGACTATTATTTTGAATTGGGTTGCTTCTTCTGCCAGCGGGTTATTTTTTTTCGGGCCATTGTCTGTTTGCTGGTCCACTGCATCTGGCCGAAAGCCGAGCTCCTTTCTAAGGCCACCATTGTTTGGCTGCTGCATTAAACGCGAAAGTTGCACAACGGGAAAATTGAAAAGTTCAATAATTTAAGAAAGAAAAGTTTTGGAAATTACAAAACATGTGTTTAATTTATAAAGTAATTATGTTATTCAGTTTGTACCAAAAAAAAACAGTTTACTGAAAAACTCAAACAGAAAATGAGCTTACTAATCAGATCAAAAAATTAATTTGACAGTTTAGAAATACAAATAAAATAAATATTTTTATAATCTTTATTTTTTTTTTTATTAATGCTTTATTTTTTTTATTAAGTGTAGAAACTATTAAATATGTTAAATTTGACACAAATAATAATGCCAGTACATATAAAATACTTACTCAATAATTATTGACTTATTTTAAATTATTTATTTAATATTTTAAGAACATCTATCGTTCATATTTTTTGTAAGTGTACAAAAATATATGGGGAAGGAAAGTGCAGCTCAGAAAGTTCACCCTGAACTTTGCCAGTGTTGACTAACAATGCAAGGAAATGCTGAAAGAACTCAACGCATAAAACGTCCACATGTGGCGGAACTGCCGGGTGTGCTGAAAAATTTATCACAATTGTGACCTCTTTGTGGGACAATCTGCAAGAATCGCCAGATAAACGCACGTTTCTAGACGCCAACAAGACCAATGAACTTAAGCCATAAAAAGTGCCCAAAATACTTTGCGATCTCGCGAAAAACGTGAATGTATGTGTGCTTGCAGAAATTGTTGAACTCTTTGGGATTTTTTTCAGGAAAATATATATCAATTACATTTCTCAGCACTTCAACTAACGAACCTGCTTCACATTCAAAAGAAGGACACACATTCAACATATTGGGTCCAATTAAAACCCATTTTAAGATCAATACATATCAAAGAAATTTTTATTGGTGATGGGATATTTTATAAAGAACATTTACAGAAACATTAACCATGTAAAAAGAAGAAAATAATTTTTTTGATTCAGTTACAAGAAAAAGCAAAACTTGAAATAAAAATTTGTAAAAAGTACACATATCAATCAATCAACCTTGTGACGACTCATCACTATTGGCAAGAGATGTTGGCGTCATGTTAACCCATTGAAAGCGTTTGTCAACCAAGGCCTTTAAGGGATATAAACACGAACACTTTCGCCCATATAGACAGCCACTTGTCAGTTCTAATTGACAATAGAAAGTGAAACGGCAATAGAACCTGCGAGTGGGGAAATAGAGAAAGTGACCAAGTGGGTGGGTCCATTCACCAATCTCCGCCCGAAGCGCAAGGACGAGGCAACCCTTGTTGAAACTCAATCAAACGCCCACGTATTCGGTGAAAAGTTCAAACAATGAAGTTCCTGCCACTTTCGAGAGCCAAAAGTGCTGCTGATTTTGATGCCAAAGGACGATGGCGATGCTGATGACGATGCGAATGCTAAAGCTGCTGCCCCAGTTAAATAGACAATTTTGCACACAAATCCATTTAATCTAGAGATAAATAACATTTAGGGCTCAACAGACCGCCTGTGTTGAATGTGAGACCTATTCTCACACTCCAAAAAATGCATACTATGCGTATAAATAAAAATGAGTAATAAAAATCTCAATGAAAAAAATTGTATGTTTATACATCAAATGTTTCTATTATTAAATCCTTTTAAAAGTATTTACATATTTTTTTTACATAAATGTTCGTTTGCTCCTTTTTTTCATAGTTTTTTGCCTTTAATTTTAGATGAGTCTTTAATTTAACTTTTCAAGTACAAAAAGTGCTTGGTAGACCAATTTTTTGTCTTTATTAGGCCTACTCCAAGATGAAAACTTTATTGGCCAAATAGTATCATGCTTATTTTTATAGTGCACCCGAA